GGACTTTCTCCTTCTTTCTTCTCAATTTGTTTTTTCTTCCCTCCTCCCTCCCTCTCCTCTCCCTCCCTCCCTCCTCTCCCTCTCTCCTCCCTCCCTCCCTTCTCTCCCTCTCCTTCTACTTCTCCCTTTGTTTTTCCCTCCCTCCCTCCCTCGCCGCGACCTTTCTCCTCCTCCTCTTCCTCCCTTGGTTTTTTCCCCTCCCTCCCTCCCTCCTCTCTCCCTCCTCCCTCCGCATAGCCTTTCTCCTCCTCCTCTTCCTCCCTGGTTTTTTCCCTCCATCCCTCCTCCCCTCCCTCTCCCTCCTTCCCACCCTTCCCACCCTCCCTCTCTCCTTCCTCCCTCCACCCACCCTCCCTCCCTCTCCATCTCTCTCCCACCCTCCTTCCCTCTCTTCCCTCAACCCCTCTGACCTCCCTTCCGCCTGCAAATACCGACCTAGGAGCCTCAACCGACGTAAGATGACCGTGACCTGTGACCTGTGACCTCTGCCCAATGCCCCTCAGCGATCTCCATGCTTGCCAACTCCTCCTGTTCTGGGCCAGGAGTCGGCGCCGAGGAAGCCACTCGTGTCATGTCGGTCGAGAATGGTGGTGTTATGGTGGTGATGGTGATGGTGATGGTGGGGATGGTGGTGATGGTGGTGTGGTGGTGATGATGATGGTGATGGTGGTGTGGTGATGGGGTGGTGTTGATGGTGATGGGGATGGTGGGGATGGTGGTGGGGATGGTGGTGATGGGATGATGGTGGTGTGGTGGTGGGGATGGTGATGGTGGTGTTGGTGGTGGTGATGGTGATGGTGGTGATGGTGGATGGTGTGGTGATGGGATGGTGGTTGATGGTGATGGGGATGATGGTGTGGTGGTGGTGGGGATGGTGGTGTGGTGGTGGGGATGGTGGTGATGGGGATGATGGTGGTGTGGTGGTGGGGATGGTGATGGTGGTGTTGGTGGTGGTGATGGTGTTGATGGTGGGGATGGTGGTGGTGTTATGGTGGTGATGGTGTGGTGGTGGTGATGGGAATGGTGGTGGGGATGGT